CCCCAAAACCCCAAAACCCCAAAACCCCAAAACCCCAAAACCCCATCCTGGAATTTAAGAATTGATATAATATTTAATAATATGAGGAAGACTGAGAAGGGCCAAGGAGGAAATCCATGGGTTAAGAAGATTGTCAAGAAGATTACTAGTCCAAGTAGTTATGCAGGCAGAAGTCTTGGACATAGGGCACCTAAGGGAATGACCAAAGTTAGCACTTTTGATGATGAAGAGAATATTTTTCCGAAGACTTTTGAGGTTACAGTCAAGAGGAAAGGAGAAAAGTAAGATTTGTTGGATTTTAATGAGAGAATGAAGCTAATTGGGTATAGGAAGATAGGAAAATATCCAGGATATATCTGCTGAGGGATATATGAGTAATTTTAGGCTGGTAATATTTAGATATGGAAACTGATATGCAATGTGCTTTGACAAGCATGGAAGTCCTTGGATTACAATTGGACCAGATTTTTGTTTCACAATTTGATTATTCATTTTCTTATCTCTTATTTACTCAGTGTTCCTCTACTTCTCCACTCATCTTAAAAGCTATTATCCAATTCTTGTCTTTCTCGGTGTAGTTCTAGTCCTGGTCAACCTCTTCTCAACGCTTTTTACTGTTTTTATCAATCCTGGTCATCCATCAAAAAGATTGAGTGTACCACCTCATCGTGAATGGTGAAGGATGTGCAATTCTCCTTGCCTACCTGAATATGAGGTAAAATTGATCTCTAACATCATAGACTTTCCATTGTGATGACTGTAACAAATGAGTAGAGTATTATGACCACCATTGCCCTTGGTTCGGCAAATGAATTGGCAAAAACAATATAATAACCTTCTACATATTCATTGCTAGCTTTATGATCCTCATATTTGCCACCTTCTTTAGCGTAGCAATGTATATGGAGCAACATAAGAAGAAAGATAGTTAATTTTTGTTATAAAAAGGCTCATAAGATCTTTCATAGGGGTTTGTGATATTTTTAAATAACCCTCCTCTCGCTCATGTTATTAAATTATTAAAAGAGTAATTTTAAAAATCCCTTCACAAATATTTCCTATAAATTATTTTCAATTTTCAAAATGTTTGTGGGGTTTTGGGGTTTTGGGGTTTTGGGGTTTTGGGG